TTCGCGCAGAGCCATTTAATGGGCCGTTATTTGAGGATAAAGTTGTGAACAAAGTGGATGCTCTACATTGGTGGCAGTCTTTGTCAACTTTAAAAGACTGCATTTCATCAAAAGAACTATTAGTTATAGAACAACTCATGACTGCAAAGGCAACATCTGCGGGTGTTGAAAGAATTTTTTCTACCTTTGGTTTTGTACACAGTAAATTGAGGAATCAATTAGGGGTAGAAAAGGCTGCCAAACTGGCATTTCTGTTCAAATCGTTAAATAAATAAATATTATTGTTACTTTGTGTGATTAACATTTCTGTAAATCTTTATTTCTAATATTTTTCTTATCAAAGTTTTAATCAATTCTGCCATGTACTACTATGCTCTCAGTTATACACTTGGTAAGTACATTTTACCTAATTTAGATATTCTTGATTTGTAAAACAATGCTATATATCAATGTTTTAAACATCAATGTAGCAAAATTTAGAGTGATTTTAGTTAGTTTTTTTTTTTTTAATTATTCTCTGGTGAAGTATGAGTTATATTTTATAAAATTATTCTTTGCTATGTTTTTTATTACAAAATATATTATATGTACTACAAATTATAACATATGGGAATAAAACTGGTTTAAACCGAAAAAACCTGGTTTAAACCGAAAAAACCTGGTTTACACCGAAAAAACCTGGTTTAAACCAAAAAAACCCGGTTTTTTTGGGTTTTTTCCTAAAAAACCTGGTTTTTTTCACACCCTGATTCAAAGAAAAAACAGTGAAAAAAAAAGCAAAAAATTTCATAAGGTGGTGGTGAGAGTGGATCCCGAGCCTGTACGTATTAGAGGATCACGTACTGTCGACTGGACCATAACACGAATTGTTGTTCGGAAGAAAAATGACCCTATTTAAGCTAGTTAAAAATTTTCAAAGTCAATTTTCTCTACTTAGGGGGGCATTGGCAAAAAATTCCAAATACGTCTGATTCTATATTCAATATAGATTAGATCTATATAAATTTTATGAAAATCGGTGACCCCATCACCGTGACCTCCCCTTGTAAGTATCCCCTGTGAATTTTACTTTCATGGTTGCCACAAGTCTGACAAACCATGAAATATCAGGGATTTTGACGATTATATTTATTATGTGTTTTCCCCTCTTTTTCTTTTAGTTTCTAATTATAATTTTTTTATCATGGCTAAATATAAATGTAGTAGATAAGGAGATTATTGGGGTTCAATCTCTACCTTTTTTGAAATTATAAAACTTACAAATAAATAAAAATTAGTTGGTGTTTTTGGTATAGTTCATTAAATTTAAGGGTAAATATTTAAAGAACTAATATATTTATATAAATATATACAGAGTGTTCAGTAAGTCAGGAAACGGGTTTCTATTGTTCTCATTGTTTGTAACAATGAGAACAATAGAAACCCATTTCCTGACTTACTGAACACCCTGTATAATATTATTTAAAAATTAACTCAATATCAATAACATAAAATAAATTATTATTTTAGCTGAGTTGGGTGATTATCATCCTGACGAACACAAACCAGGTTACATATCAGGCATGATTCTCGTACCTGGCCAAACTGAACAAATGGAAAAGAAAATTTCTGAATTACATAAATTGCATAAGTAAATACACACTAAAAAGTAAATAATAATATTTTAATATAATTTTTTTTTAAATATATATTTAAAAAAAAAGAGGTCAATCTCCTGCTGATGCCGAGTTCAATTTCTTAGACCATGGAAAAAAGCTAGAAATGTATGGTGTTGATTTACACAAAGCAAAAGTATAATCAAATGTTGAATTATATGCTTTTTAAACGATTACTTAATAAAAAATTAATGCTTTAAAAAATGTAGGATTCTAGTGATAAGGAATTAGATATTGGTGTTACCTGTAATGGTTTAGTTGTGTTTCAAAATAATATTCGTATAAATACTTTATCATGGGCAAAAATTGTAAAAATATCTTTTAAGAGAAGACATTTTTTTGTTCAACTACGAAGAGAATTGGTGTGTAAAAGTATCATTCTAACCATATAGTCATATTGCAATAAAAATTATCATTTATATATAATTAATAGTGTGAAAATTATGACACTGTTTTGGGATTTAATATGATGACTTATCGATCTTCGAAAAATCTATGGAAAACTTGTGTTGAATATCATTCATTTTTTCGCTTAAATCAACCAATATGTCCTTCAAATAATCGTGGTATCCGTAGATTATTACCTGGTTCCTTACAGTTTGGATCGAGGTTTTCATTCTCTGGAAGAACAGAATTACAAACTATAGAAGATAGTAGAATATCACAATCTCGTCCTCATCGAACATTCTTAAGGTACTTTCTATGCTTACTTTAATTTTTTTCTAGTTTTACAAAGCTCAATAAAAGCTTGTAATTTTATAATATTTGTTAAGTCAGTATATATTCTTAAGTTCAAATTAGTGTACTTATTATAAATATTGTTGATAGTTAATTATGTCAGGATTGTTAATACAGTATAACTTTTCATTAATAAACTAAATTAGTATAGAAATGGTAAATAATACATTTGGGGTATCTAAGAATATGGTTGTCAATAATAATACATTTTGCCATAAAAGAATACATAAAGTGACTTGGAGTGCACCAGATAGACAAACGACAAACCAAATAGATCATCTTCTTATAGAAAAAGGTTTAGATCTAGCAAAACTGATGTATAGAGTTACAGAGGAGCTGACTGTGACTCGTTTTTTAATTATTGAAAGATATCCGCAATCATGCAAAAAATACAAATAAAAGATCAAAGTGCCCAAGTTCAATGTTAACAGCCAAAATACATATTAGAAAGGAAGAATTAGAAAATTAATTAAATGCAAACAAGCAAAGTGATGGACATCATTAGGAGTCTACTAGAGATACAATTATTAAAGCACCAAAAAAAACAGTGGGCGTATCACAAAACTAAATAAAGAAATGGTTTAATGCAAAGTATAGAAGAGCAATAATAAAAAGTAGTGATATCTATCATAACTATCTTGGGTTAAACACACCAGAAGCAAAGAAACTCTTTGAACAAGAATGTAGGGTATGTAAAAGAACCTTACAGAGAAAAAATAAGAAATATGTGAAGAATTACTGAGCAATACAAAACACAGATTATTCGAATGGTAGAGTGAGAAACTTGTTCGCGAAAATTATGAAGTATGAAAAATATTAAACATATGGAAAGAAAAAAGGATTCTGTAGGATTGAAACAAAACTATTATTATTCCACTACATACACATATGTTGAGCCAGACCGGTGGTGAAACTCACTGAGTAATTGCTCAAACCGCTACCCAAGAATTGGTGCAAAGAACAACACAGGAAAATATGGAAGTACTTGGTAGTAGCTAAACAATCTAAAATGTTTATCAAGACCCTTGGTCTACAGCTGGGTGATCTTTATAGCATAACTAAAAATCAAATAAGGACTTTGACTAATCTACTAACAGAACATGGTTACTTATTTAAACTCATTCCACATAATGTGCAAACGTGAAGCCTTATCCATACTATGATCAAACTACTTAATTAAACCTTTTCCTGAAATAGAAGATATTAAAAACCAAAGATTCAGAGAGATACTTAATTTTGCCAGAAAGACAGTACCCTTTGGACTCCACAGAAATAGATAATATAATGGTATGAATAACAGCACAAATGGAGTTAAGGGTACTCTCTTTTGAGAATTGGATATTGAGAAAAATCTATAGTGATTATATAATGATGAGTTTGTTTCCTGGCGGAGAAGGACAAATGCTAAAAACCTGATAAGTAACACAAAGCCTAAAGGTAACCAATTACACAAATGCACAATGATTGCAATGGTTTGAATTTGTTATTAAAAGAGATGAATCAAAGGCTGTGAGGACAATTATAGAGTACCAACCTAACGTGAAAAGAAGAGGGGTAGACCAAGAAAGCGATGAAAGTAGAAGACTGGTAGGAAATTATACATAATAAGCAAAAATAGAAGACTTTTAAGGTTGGCATCAAAGACTCTTGGAAAGTATTATTTAATATAATACTTCATTAACTAAAATTTTAGCATAACTCAAATATAGTTTTGCTGCTCAAGTTTCACATTATTTTCCAAATAATTCTTCAAATAAAAAGTATACAATAAAAGGTCACCTTCCTTAATTTAAAAATTGATTATAAAAGTAGTGAACATTTTATAATAATGTTCAGTCAAAAAAAAAAAAAAAAATTGACAATATTAATATATTTTTTTGGAAATTATAAATGATAAGATTATTGCATTAAATGAAGTGGTTAATTATTAACCATACACACTTAAATACCAAAAATTGATGAAATTTACTAATTTTATATTTAATACTATTTAAAACAAATATGTATACAAGTGACCAACCCAGTTTAATAATTTTTGATCCAGCAAATATTTTGCATTATTTTTTTATTAAATAATTTTTACAATTATTAATTATAATTATTTATATTATTAATTAAAAATTTTGTACTAAGTTAAAATCATATATCAGAACGTGTTTTATCTTCATACTGAATAGACATATATTAGAATAGTACTGTGTCTTATCTTATTGTGTAAATTACATGATATTGTGCTATAAATAAACTGGTATGTACATTTCTACTACTATAACATTAAACTATCTCTTTGGTAAACAATCACCTATGGAGATCTTTCCCCTCTAATAAGGGAAAAAATACTGAATTAAATAATTTAATAATAATTCAGTAATTATTATCCTCTAAATTATGCTAAGGCTACCACCAATTCTACTTATCATTATCCTGCCAGACAAAACGCAATAATATTCAATAGTATAGAAGGCATGCCTCAAATTGAATACATTATTAAAATTCTGTTTCTCTTTCCTCTATTTTTTCAGAATTTAGACTCTCTAATAAAAAATTAACAATATATTTCTCCCAAAAAGATATAGTTGACAAAATTATGAAATCTCATCCAGTCATAACTAATGAAATTTCTATTAAAATTTGATATCTTATCAATCCAGCTAAATAAGTTCTAATATCAAACGTCTGTTCAACCATACTTAATGAATTTATCGTAGAAGCTATTAAAAATCTTGGTATTACCCCGTCTCCCAAATGACAATATTCAAATTAGTTACTAACTTGGCTAAGTACAGCCACATTCTAAGTAGTCGTAAACAAATATACATTAATCTTGAAGATACTGAAATACTCCCAATCTCTTTTACATTATATTTCACTATCCGTATTAACTGCATCAGAGCAAGTGGTGGTATTGCTATATTAATAAAACAAATGTATCCCAATAAGCAAATACTAATCAATTAAAAATTTTAAGTTATAGCAATATCCATTACAATGGAAAAAACATTTACCATTGGTAACATATATATATACCTAACGAAACCAGTTTTTCAGCTTCTGATATGAGACACATTATTAATCAACTCCCCAAATCATTTTTACTAATGAGAGACTTCAACAGTCATGGCACCTCATGGGGCTCCGACTCCACTAACAGCAAAGGTCGAATAATGGAGTAGCTACTAGAAGATAGCAATATTACTCTACTAAATAAGGTCGATTACACAAGATTGAACCCCTCAAATGGTACTTTTTCAGTCATAGATCTTACTCTTTGCAGCATCTCTCTTCAGCAGAGTGAGCAGTGATGAATGCTTTAACCCTGAAATTCTAAATAGCAGCATACACAACAATATATGCTGATGATGTAAATATCTTCTGCTCAGGTTAGAGTTTGTCAAACTTTCAATCATCCCTTCAAGACACCATAAATAAACTAGAAGGATGGTCTAAAATATCTGGGTTCTCCTTCTCTACCACTAAATCTAAATGTATCCTATTTACAAAAAAAAAGAAAATATACCAATTTAACATTTATTTCTGTTATAGAAATAATATGAATATTAATATTAATATTAATATGAATAAAGAATAAATGGGAATTTGGGTGTTATACCCAAATTCCCAACTGTAAAGTAATAAAAATCTTGGGAATTACATTCGACCATAAATGCAGCTAGAAGCAACATGAGAGTAATCTAAAAAAAGAATGTGTAACTAAACTCAACCTAATCAAATCTATTGCACACACTCAATGGGTAGCTCCGTCGGGAACATTACTTACCATTTATAAATTACTAACTCTTTCTAAATTGGAGTATGGATCCTTTGTATTGTCTTCTGCAATACAATCAACTTACTTAACACTATACACAATGCTGACATATGTTATGCTCTAAGAGCATTCAAATTAAGCCTTATATATAATATATCTGGCATTCCCTCCATAAAATTATAAGAACAGGTCACATTAAAATTTGGCGCTAAACTAAAAACTAATGATATACTTACTCATAGTTAATACAGAAGGAATGATCCCTAGGAAATTTAGAATATTCCCAGAATGATGAAATATATTAGATATCAACTATGAACTACACCACTTGCCCTAACTCCTCAAATAATTTACAATACCAAATTTATAGAACTTATGAACAATTACCAAAACTGGAACAAATTATACACTGATGCATCTAAGATTGAAGGAGTAGGATTATCTATATTACTTGAAAACTCCTATAAGACCTATAGTTACCAAAACATTGTTATATATATACAGCTGAAACATATGCTATACTGAAGGCACTTGAGTATATTCAATAAAACAATATCGAAACTCAATTATCTTAACCGATTCTCTCAGCACAATTACCAGCATAGATAATCCATTTAACTTAAACTTTCTGGTCAATTTAATACAAAACACAGTCCACTCAATACACCACAAAGGTATATCTATAAAAATTATATGGGTTTCAGGACACTCATTAATCCAAGGAAATGAAAAGGCAGATATACTAGCAAAAGAAACTACAAAAGCTGATAATATAGCAATAACAACTTTATGCACTATCGAAGACATCAAATCAACTATTAATACAAAATTTCTACTTTTATGGCAACAAGAATGAATAAGCACTGAAACTAAATTACACAAAATAAAACAAAACACCCAAAAATGTCCATATCTCGACATACTATACAAACACCAAGTCATCATTGACAGGCTCAGAATTGGACACACACACCTAACTCATGGGTATTTAATGAACAACTATACTCCACCAATATACAAGATTTGCGGAGTCACTAATTCTGTCAAACATATTTTCACAAATTGTCAAAAGTATGAACATCAAAGAGAGGCACATGGGATACCTCACCACCTTACCCAATCTCTGAAACAAGACCTTAACTCTGTACAAATGATTACAAAATTCCTTAAGGCTACCGAACCATTTAATTTAATATAATATCTGTATAACTTATATGCTAGTGACCAACTTTTATTCACTTTCATTGTTAACCTAATCTAATTGTTTAAATAGCTAGTTTATTGTGATATGCATGTAATCATGGGCAATGGCCTTTATTTCAATTAAAAAAAATCATATATATTTTTTAGTGTTTATCTTTGATAAGAAAAATATATAAATACATTTCTTTAAATCTTTTGATGTTTTTAGCCTTTTTTTAGAAAAAATTTTAGTATATGTTACAATAATTTTAATACATAGAGTGAGCGTGTAACATAGATGAAGTATTCATTATAAATACAACATTATAACTCATACAACAGTATGAGCTGTATCCACCCACAGAAGGAGACAAAAAAAAATTTTGTTTTTTAAAAACCATGTATTTTTTAATGGCCTAAAGTCTGTTTTTAAGATATTGGTAATTTATATAGTATCTTTTTATTTTCTTGTGAGGAATATAATTAGCTCAAGAGTTGTAATAATTAAAAAATGTTTGTCAAATAAAAATTCAAAGATAATTTATATTTTTAAATGTGTTAATTTATAGCTTAAAAAAAATTATGAAGCATAATATTTGTAAGTTATATAACTTAATAACCTAATAAAAATGAAGTATGTATAAGTATATATCTAATTCATACATATTAATATGTATTAAATTTTAGATTTAGTAGCAGATGTACTTCTAAAAATGCCATTCATATAAATAATAATACCGAAAACAAAACATCTTCAAAATCAATTATTAGATCTTCAACTTTAAAAGGGACACATGACAATAAAGTGACATCACTTGATAAAGATCCTAGACCTGCCTGGGGACCACCTTCTTTAGTTATATCAGACGAGTAATTAAAGTTTAAAAAAATTCTGTAATTTTAATAATAATTTGTTTTAATTTATAGTGAAGGAGGGTTCATGTCATCTGTTATTCACCCTAGCAGCAGTAGCAGTATAAATGGTTTAACTGTTAATGGCCGTTCTTTAATGAATTATGTTGATGATGACATGTCAAGTAGCATCTATGATATTCCAGCTTATGATACAGAATCATCATTGGTATGTGAAATTTCCAAAGTATGGTTTGAGTAATATTAATTGCATAAAAATTTATTATTTTTTAGGAAGGTGATAATAATGTTGTTTGTATCCATATGTGTGCTGATAAACAAGGTCGATTTGGATTTAATGTTAGAGGAGGTTCTGATTTAGGAATGCCAATTGTGGTATCACGTGTAGTTCCTAATACATCAGCATATAGAGCTCAACCAAAACTTTGTGAAGGAGATCAAGTGAGTCGATATTATTTAGAAGCAACTGAAAAGAAACATGGTTATTAGTTTAAAAAGTAGTATTTTTTTTTTCTAACTATGACTTAAAAGAGTTAAGCAATCTTTTAGCAATATAGTATTACACATATTACATGCAGATGAACTGATATGAAAATATTTAAAAATCAACTTTCAGGTAGGTAGGTAGGTAGGTAACCTGTTGTATGTTGTTAATTTTTGTGTGATCTTCTATATTGGAGCTAACAGGGATAGCTCATTGTAACTAGTGACATATTTTGAGAAAAAAATGATGCTCTTTCATTATAAATTTAAAATATAGTGTTAATTATAACATTAATATAAAGCTAACTACTGTTGATCCATGTGTCTCTTCACACTTCTAATGTATAGTTTTTATCTAAGCAAGTAAAATATTGCAGGACATATTCATTAAACTACTACTTAAAAAATCTTTAAGTTAGAATTGTTTGTCTAAAGTCATTAAATAAGGCTACTTTTGTAGGTTTTGATGATTAATGGGCAAGAAGTTAGTGATATGGTGCACGATGATGTTGTTAATTTAATTAGAGCTGCTCGAGATCTTGAACATGGTGGAAAATTGATTTTAACTGTGCAACAAAAAAGTATTTATAGTTTTACTACTTAAAAAAATCACTAATAATCAAAGGTTTTTTTATGGGTTTGAGATTTTCTTTAAAATACATCTTTTGGTTATTATGTTATAACTAATTTATTATTTTATTGCTATGATACAGTGTATATATACAAATGTTAAATTTATAGTATTACGAATATAAATGAAGATAGTATTGTTATGTTTATTTTTTTTAATTATTTAAAGGTAATGAAGATTGTTTAAAAAATAAAGAAGAAGAGCCCATATTCCAATATATACCAGATTCACCGGCAAATATCATGTCATCTGATCCATTGCTTCAATCAATTTTATTGCTTGGTGATGGATTGGCTAGTGGATCATTATTGACTCAGTTTGAACAATTATATAGACATAAACCAGGAGCTTCAATGGATTGCGCCAGAGCAACACCAAATATTCATAAAAATAGATATCGTGATATAGCACCATGTTAGTAATAAATAATAAAAAAATTATTTTTAAACAAAACATAATGCTTTTTTTAATCATAGATGATTGTACAAGATATATTCTAAAAGATGGACAAAATGATTACATTAATGCCAATTATATTAATATGGAAATTCCTGGGTCAGGGATAATTAACAGATACATTGCTACTCAAGGTCAGTTATTAATTTTAACTGATAGTGCATAATTAAGTATTGCTTAACAATTTCAGCAAACTACTCTTTTTTTTATTTAAGTCTTGTATATTATTTATACATATTGAATGTATTTTTAAATTAAATGAAAAAAAAAAAATTGACCTCTGGACTTGTCTTCATGGTGAAAATGACTACCGTATGCAAAAATATGCTATTTTTTTGGAAAAATTCTTGATATTATATTTTACATTTTTTAACATTATGTTGCTATAACTTTTTAAAAAATGCATGAATCAACTCTATTCTTTGACAATAAATACTTTATATATACCTCTTTCATACGACATACTTTTTTTTTTAAATCGGACCTTTTCCCTTTATACAGGGGGGGTGCAAACCTTTTAAAATGCGTATAGAAAGTAGAACTTTTTCAACTTAACTTTTGAAAATGTTCCGGAAAGACTGACACTTTTATATATATCTTAAATTAAAGCTTATGTAATATACTTTAATTTGAAAAAAAAAAATTTGACCTCTGGACTTGTCTTCGTGGTGAAAGTTGACATCAAAGTTAATAAAAAATTACGATTTTTGTAAAATAATTTTTTTTTATATTTTTAACTTAATAATGCTCTAACTTTTTCAAAAATGAACATATCAATATAATTTTTTTTTATATAGATGCTTGATGTCTTTACTTATCATTTGGTATATTTTTTTTGTAAATCTGACACTTAACCTGCCCACAGGGGGGGATTTAAAATGACAACTTTTTCACAAAAAATTAACTTTTTCAACATAACTTTTGAAAATGTTCCGGAAGGTCTGACACTTTTATATATATCTTAAATTAAAGTTAATGTAAAATACTTTAATTTGAAAAAAAAAAAATTAACCTCTAGACTTGTCTTCACGGCGAAAATGGCTACCGAATGCTTTTTTCGTGTGAAAATTCTCGATTTTATGATTTATATTATATTTAACTTTATAATGCTATAACTTATTGAAAAGTTTATGGATCCACACAATTTTTTTATGAGAAATAATATTTTTTAATAAACCCTTTTTCATTCGACATATTTTATCTTAATCGAGATATTAATAAGGAACCAGCAGATCAAGTAGCTTTTGGAATAAAACACCAATTTTTTTAAAATTAAACACTATCTAAAGATTTGCATCGAAGCGTTTATTTTTGATAGTGATTTTAATCACTGTCAGATATCATTATACTTGATCCAACTATACCACGTCACAACTGTGCCGCGACCCCCCTGTGCTGGGTTTTTTTATATACCCCTTTCATCTGACACCCTTTTTTTTTGTAAATCGGATTATACCCCTTTAACATGGGGGGTCAAAACTTTAAACATGGGTATTGAAACTAGGTCATTTTCAATTAAATTTTTTAAAGTGTTCCAGAAATACTGACACTTTTATATATATCTTAAATTAAAGCTTATGTTTTTTTTTTTTTTTTCAATCCGAAGATTGGTTTTTAACAAATGTGTTTACAATAAATGGCTTCTCCATTTTTCTCTATTATTCGCCATAATTTTAAGCTCCCTGTAGGAAGTGACCCCTGCATCCTGCATTATTTGGCTAATGTACCTCGTTCTAGGTCTTCCTCTTGATCTTGTACCCTCTATCATTCCTTCAATTATTAAACTATGCAATTCATCTCCATGCCTCAACGTGTGTCCTATCATCTGCCATCTCCTTCTCTTTATAATGTCAATCAGTGTTCGTTTTTCATCTATTGTCCTCAGGATGTCTTCATTTGATCTTTTATCAATCCAGCTTATTCTCTGCATCTTTCTCCAACACCACATCTCCAGAGCTTCTAACATATCTTTTTCTTTCTTATTAATTGTCCAGGTTTCACTTCCGTATAATGCCACACTCCAGACGTATGTTTTTATGAGCCGTTTCTTCGTTACTATGTTCATATTTTTTGATGTTAGTATTTTTCTCTTTTTAAGGAATGTATTCTTTGCTTGACCTATCCTGCTCCTGATTTCCTTGGTTGATTTCCCGTCGTCTGTTATAATGCTGCCTAAGTATTTGAAATAGTCTACTAGGATAATTTCTTTGTTTTCTAATGTTATATTTATATATGGTATGTCTTTCTTGTAGCATACTAGGGCTTTGATCTTGGCTGCGTTTATTTTCAGACTATATTCTTTGAACGTAGTATTTATTGCATTTAACGCTACTTGTATGTCTTCCTCAGATGTTGTAAGAACGACTATATCATCAGCGAAGCGAAGCTTCCCCTCCTATTTTCACTACAATTCCTTTTTGTTTTAACCAAAGCTTTATGACGTTTATTGCTTTTTCAATAAATACATTAAACAATGCAGGTGAAAGTGGGCACCCTTGTCTCACACCTTTTTGGATTCTGGCAGTCACTGTTGTTGTATTAATGTTAATAATGGATTCTTGTTCTTCATAAATCTTATAAAGAATACGTCTGTCTTTAAAATCTATCTCTGTTTCTTCCAAAATTTTAAAGAGACTTGTCCAATTTATGCTATCGAATGCTTTTTCTAGGTCTACAAAGGCCATATAAGTGATTTTTTGTCTCTCAATTTGCTTTTCAAGTATTACTCTCAGACCTAAAATAGCCTCCCTGGTTCCTTTGTTCTTCCGGAAACCATATTGATCGTTTGCTAATCTGGCTTCTATCCTCTTCCTTATTCTTTTGCTTACAATTATTGCCAGTAATTTAGCCGCATGCGATATCAAGCTTAAGGTCCTAAAATTTTCGCACTGGTTTGCTCTAGGTTTTTTTGGTAGGATAACTAATCTGCTACATCCAAAATCTCTCGGAATTTTCCCAGTCTCGTATATTTGACTTAACAGTTCGTACAGAGCNAATAAAGCTTATGTAATATACGTTAATTTGAAAAAAAAAAATTGACCTCTGGATTTGTCTTCATGGTAAAAATAACTACCGTATTCAAAAATATGCTATTTTTGTGTTAAAATTCAGGGTTTTGTATTTTATTTTATTTTAAAATACCTTACAAGAGGAGTATAGATTTTCATAAATATTATATAAATAAAAACCCAGCACAGGGGGATCGCGGCACAGTGGTGACGTGGCATAGTTGGATCAAGTATTATGATATCTGACAGTGATTAAAATCACTATAAAAAAAAACGCTTCGATGCAAATCTTTAGATAGTGTTTAATTTTAAAAAATTCGTGGAATATACCAAAAACAACTTGATCTGCTAGTTCGTTATTAATATCCTGATTCAGATAAAGTATGTCGAATGAAAAAGGGATTATTAAAAAATTTTATTTCTCATAAAAAAATTGTGTTGATCCATACACTTTTCAATATGTCATAGCATTATAAATTTAAAAATGTAAAAAATAAAATCGACAATTTTCACAAATTAATAGCATTCGGTAGCCATTTTCACCGTGAAGATAAAATAAAGTCCGACATTTTTTGCATAATAAAGTAAATTACATTAGCTTTAATTTAAGATATATATAAAAGTGTCAGACTTTCCGTAACACTTTCAAAAATTAAGTTGAAAAAGTAAATTTTTTGTGAAAAAGTTGTCATTTTAAAACCCCCCCTGTGGGCAGGTAAAGGGTCAGATATAAAAAAAATATATACCAAATGATAGGTAAAGACATCATGCATCTATAAAAAAAAAANTACCAAATGATAGGTAAAGACATCATGCATCTATATAAAAAAAAATTATATTGATCCATACATCTTTCAAAAAGTTATAGCATTCTAAAGTTAAAAATATAAAAAAGAATTTTTTTACAAAAATCGTATTTTTTTTAAAAACTTTGATGTCTGTTTTCACCATGAAGATAAAATAAAGTCCGAATTTTTTTTTTGCATAATAAAGTAAATTACATTAGCTTTAATTTAAGATATATATAAAAGTGTCAGACTTACCAGAACACTTACAAAATTAAGTTGAAAAAGTAAATTTTTTGTGAAAAAGTTGTCATTTTAAATCGCCCCTTGTGGGCAAGTTAAGGGTTAAATGTATGAAAAAAATATACCAAATGATAGGTAAAGACATCATGCATCTATAAAAAAAAAATTATATTGATATGTTTTTTCATTGATATGTATTGATATGTATTCATTGATATGTATTTTTGAAAAAGTTATGGCAGTTTTAAGTAAAAAAAAATTCAAAAATTAGCGATTTTTAAATTTGTAATTTTTTTGGAGGTTTCCCCCATTTATGGGGAACGAGGGAAATTTTTTTCAATTTTTGAGGGTAATGTAATACCTTCTCAGCTTCGCATCGAAGCTAAAAATTAATATAGCATAGAAAGTTAAACTTATTTAAATTTGTTTGCATCTTTTAAGTGGAGAAAAATAACTTTGAAATTTAAACTAGCTTAAATAGCCAATTTTTTCAAGCAAGGGGAACGATGTATGGTTGTCGAGTTGGTAGAAGTCATGTTTTACACGTTTGGGATACGAGGTTTCAACCCTCGTATGGCAATGAATTTTTTGCATTTTTTCTTAATTCTTTTTAAGTTAATATAAATTTTTAACTCCTTTGATTTTTATCTCATTTAGATTCAATAACTTTAATAAAGATAAAGGATCCCATCACTGTAGTCGCCACTCGCGAGAAGAAGTTTTTTATTAATACTAAAATTATTTTACTATATTTTAAGTTTTAGCTTCGATGTAAAGTTGAGAAGATATTTTTTTGTGACTATCATTTATTTTCTCTGCTCTAACTTGACCTACTTTTTTCATCGATACGTCAAATGACTACAAAAGTATTTAGTTGAAGATATTACCCTCAAAAATTGAAAAAAAAATTCTAATTTATCAATTAAACAGTTACTTATCCCATATTCTCCATACAGACAATTAAAATCATTCATTTCTAATGTTTTCAAAATATTTATTAACGAATGAAGTTTGAAATGATAGGTTTCAACTACAAAATGAAATCATTTTACTTTGTAATTTAATAATTTTATTAACTCTATTTGTGTGTGCTACTACTAGACTATAATATTACAAATTTTTTTGTAACATGTTGCTATATAAATCATTTCTAAAAAAAAATGATTGTTAATTTCTCCTGAATTAACAATGGATTTTTATAATTATAATTAAATTTTATAATATGCTCTATTGAGTATATCTATTTAAAATTTTTTTTTTTTTTGATTGGTTCATTTAGTTAAAGTAAATCATTAAAATTAATTAACTTCTGAATATTTTAATTGCAGAATCTTTTCAAACACCAAAAGTTACTAGGAAATTATTACTATTACTTCTATTTAAGTTATCTATTACCATAAAAATGCAAAAAAATATTGAGCTTTTCTGATAAATTTACAATAAATAGTAATTATAAAACTTTCTGACTGCATATTGATCTTAACGATACAATTTTTTTAATTGTCATAAAATTAACTATATAAAATACTGATCCATACATTTTTCAAAAAGTTATAGCATAATGAAGTTAAAAATGTAAAATACAAAATCGAAAATGTTCACACAAAAATAGCATTCGGTAGCCATTTTCACCGTGAAGATAAAATAAAGTCCGAAATTTTTTTTTTGCATAATAAAGAACATTACATTAGCTTTAATTTAAGATATATATAAAAGTGTCAGACTTTCCGTAACACTTTCAAAATTTAAGTTGAAAAAGTAAATTTTTTGTGAAAAAGTTGTCATTTTAAATCCCCCCTTGTGGGCAGGTTAAGGGTTAAATGTATGAAAAAAATATTCCAAATGAAAGGTAAAGACATCATGCATCTATATAAAAAAGAATTATATTGATATGTTCATTTTTGAAAAATTTATGATACTTTTAAGTAAAAAAATTGAAAAAATTTCGAAAATTTTTAAATTCGTAATTTTTTTGGAGGTTTCCTCCATTTACGGGGAACGAGGGAATTTTTTCCAATTTTTGAGGGTAATGTCTTCGACTAGATACAATTTGTGATCTTTTAACGTATCATTGAAAGAAATCAGTTCGGTGAGAGCTGAGAAAAAGTGGTAACAGACAAAAAAAATAAACACATCTTAGTAAAACCAATACCTTCTCAGCTTCGCATCGAAGCTAATAGTATAAGAAATAAACGAATGACACAATAAATGAAGTAAATTTGTGTAAAATTATGTTCTTATAACACAAGATTTTTTATAAATAATTATATCAAATATTTTTAGGACCTCTTCCGACTACTATTGGTGATTTTTGGCAAATGGTATTAGAATCACGGAGCAATTTGATTGTTATGGTTACAGCTCTTGTTGAAAAAGGTCGACAAAAGTGTGCTAAATATTGGCCACCTGTTACTGAAACATTAGAAGTAAAATTGAACTTGATAGTTAAAACAGTTTCTGAAGAAACAGATACATCAAATATTTTAGTATATCGTCAATTAGAACTAACTGATTTAACAGTAAAAATTTTTATGTATAATATTTTTAGTATATAAGCAAATAATTCATATTAGTATCAAAATGCATTCTATCTTAAACGTTGGAGCAATTTAGAGTAAAAATGGTACTGTTTATCATTGAGGTACAAATGTACTATGAAATACATTCATTGATTATTGTTCAATAGTTATACTTCTTGAACAATGTCAACAATTGTTGTCTTTGACACATACTTATGTCATAATTTCCTTAGCCTCTATCCAAACTATTTGATGTTGGCTCTACTTTATTGGTTAGATAAGATTTTTACACCAGCTGTTGATTGATGTGATGTAATCTTATTATAATTGAGCTAATTAGTAATTTAAAGTGTGTCGTTGTTAAACTTCCCGTATAGTTACCCATCTAGGAACTAACAACAAGCAGTGCAACTGAATGAACTACTGCATCATAACACGTTCCATGCACTTGACAATCTCCAGATGCTTTTCAATTTTCTTGTACCATTCGGAAATTTATTTTTGAAACATTGTATCATGTTCAAAGTCTTAAAACTTTTTCGGTATAACTACTGTTATAAATGTTTACACAAAACTTAATTATTTAATGTTGCTCCAACAATTTTTTTTTAATTTACATTTATGTTTGAAACCCATTTATATTTTTATTAAAATATTTGTGTAGATTAATGAAACGAGACCTGTTACACAAATACAATATGGTTTGTGGCCTGATCATGGTGTACCAGATGATTCAGACCGTTTATTAAATTTAGTTGAAGCAGTCCGTAAAGAGCGTGCTGGAGTTGTGGAACCAATAGTAGTTCATTGTTCAGCTGGTATCGGACGTACAGGAGTGATTATCTTATTAGAAACTGCATTGTGCTTACTAGAAGCTGGCCAGCCAGTTTATCCTTTAGAAATTGTTCGTCAAATGCGTGATCAAAGAGCTATGATGGTCCAGACCTCTGTAAGCTTACTAATTAATTTTATAGTTCAACACAAAAAAAATTTAAAAGTTTAAAGGCTTTAAATGATATAAAAGGAGGAAAGTAATAATTAAAGGTCTTTAATATCAGCGTAAAGAGTAGGTCAAAAACATTTTATTCAGAAATTTTTTTGTAATATGCAAAAATTGTAATATCTAATAGGATTTTTAATTTTTATGGGGGCTAAGCCTTATTTTCTACTTTATTAAATTAAAATTAAACTAAGCTTCTTGCTCCTATACTAGTCAAAAAATGACAAACAATATACATAGTAATGCATTAAATATAAGACATTTATTTTCTTAGACACTATTGAAAGTTTTTAATTTTCGTAAAAAAAAAAATATTATTTGATTAAAAAACTAATAAAATATGTAGTTAAACTAATTTTTTTTTATTCTTCAAGAATAAAAAACCATAATTTTTTTAATGGGAACCCCATTAAAGTTTGATGATCAGTTAACATTTTAATTTGAAGGTATGATAGAAAAAAAAAATTTCAAAAAATTTTTTTCTTAAAATTATTTTAAACTGATCAAACGTTTGCTTTTTAAAATTATTTGGATTTAAAATACAAATTTAACATTATTTTAGTTTTTAATGGTAATAAACGCAACAATAATCTGTTTCAATTTAACTATACATTTTTTTTATGATTCAACAATGTACGATAGTAAACTTTTATTGACTAAAGAGCATGCGTCTATTAATAGACCTGAATCAATAAAGATAAGATTTCTGTGTGATGAGAGCTAATATCCAGTACTTATATAATGATAATGCCAAAAATAAAAAAACTTTTTTGAAATTGAAAATTTTGCATTTTTTTAAGATCTATAACAAGTGTATATCAAAAATCGAAAATTTATAGTTAATACGTAGATAATTTTATCTCAGTTTTCCAGAAACGTTTTCTCTTTAGATATATTCTGTTGATGCACAAAAAAAATGACTTGGATTAAAGTGACTTAAAATTCTATTAATTTTGAAAATACATATTTTTTTATTTTAAGATCGACAATTTTTTGTTCAATGTACTAATAGTCAATATTATTTTTATAATTTTTTATATATTTCTTTTAACATTTATTTTATTATTTTCAAATTCATTTATAAACTTTTATTATTTTAGAATCAATACAAGTTTGTGTGTAACTGTATTCATTATGCGTTTACCCAAGGAGTTGTAAAACCATTACCAGAATACAGTCAGCAATAGTGATTTTTCAATTTTTTGTATAAGACATTTTCATTTCAAAATAAATTATATTAAAAAAATACAAAAGAGTCTTAGTGAAATTATGTTATAATCTTAATTGATGTTTGTTAGTATTTTATGTTATTAGTTTACAATTGACTTTAACAAATGTTAAAAATATTTTTACTTTAATTAACATTCTTTTATAACATTCAAAATATTAATTCTCATTATTATTTAAACATTTTTTTAGTATTATTATAGAGTTCTGTTTGGTATTACCATAATTTTGATAGTAAGTTTTTTTAATAACAGTTTACTGTATTCATATTTATTATTGTCCATCTTGCATAAAATTATTCATTTATCTGCGATATTCTCCAAATAATATGTTTTAAAGTTAAGTATTACCTTTTTTTTTTTTAATTAAAAATAGCCAATTGACATTGAATAAAATTTGATTTTCTAATAATATATTTTATGGAATGCATTTGTATATTATCTTTATATAAATTTTACTATGAAAAATCAAGTTAAAAATTTGGTTAAGTATTGTAGTTATTAATTTTCAAATTTTTTATATTGAAATTGTTATATTTATTTTAATAGTAAAATTAAGGTTTTTAATGAACAATAAATATATTTACTTAATTTGTTGAGTTAACAAAATTATATTGAAAAATATTTTTGTAAAATTTTATTGTATATCTATGTACAAGTATATAAGTGAATAACAATGTATTTAATTCGAATTACTCTTAAATTATTATTATAGAATATTAAATAATTGAAAACTTAAAAAACATTTAACAATTATTTTTTAATATATTTTAATTATATTTTTACATTTCATTGTTTCTATGTGTGAGTTCATACCAAATAGTGACAAAAAATGATTTTATTAAATGAATAGTTAGATTTAATTATATCTAACTGCTTAAGACTGATNAAAAAATGATTTTATTAAATGAATAGTTAGATTTAATTATATCTAACTGCTTAAGACTGATAAAAATGTTTGTCATACTTCCTAACAATTTAAATTATTCTAATATTTATTGTGTTCTTTTAACTTTTTCTTTTTATAACTTATTATTAAATTCACTTGTACTATATTTTATTGTATACTTAATAAAACTATTAACACGAATTTAGTAATTGATTAATAATTGATATTGACTCATCATTAACTAGTTTTTAACTTTAAAGAAATGCATATAGACATTTACAAGTTACTCCCAAAATTATAAAGTATTTGAATATTGTTCAATATTAAATAAATAAAAAAACTGATAAAACTCAATTTGACTAGTGAAAGTACATCACTGTAGGTTTTAATGTATAATTTTACCCTTATCATGAAACATTCATTGTTATTTAGCCACAATGAAACATTTGACTTTTTATTGCTAATTAATTAAATAAAAAAAAAAATTTAAAGTTAATGATAATTTTTGTATCAATCAATTAAAAAAAAAATGTTACGATATCTTGAAAATTATCTTGTAATATAACTGTTTGAAAACAATAAGATATTGTGCCTTTTTCCAACAATAACTTATTTTAAAAGTTGAAAGAGAATGGTTAAATATTAAACAAATTTAAGTCTTTAAAGATGTATTGAAATTTTATTCTTACAATATATTCCACAAAAAATGATTAAACACATTAAGTTAAACTAGTGATTTTGATCATCATTTTCTTTCAAATCTAAGTCAAGAATACAATTAATTTGAATTAATTAAGAATAATATTTTGGTAATATAATAATTTCAAATACCTGAATCAAAATTTCTAGGTCTCAAGTGTTCGTTTTCAATGACTTTATCTTTTTTAAATTTGTTTATATCTTTAAAAATAAATAAAAATTATTATTATAGTCTTCTTCTCCTTGGGGTTGGCCACCCTTGTTCTAAACTTTCATTTGACACCAAAATCTCCCACATCCTCTACGCGCATGCTTCCGATTCCTCTCTCTTCATAACATGACCAAACTATTTAAGTCTATTTTCTCTCATCTTATCCATGATTGATGCTACACCTATACTCCATTCATCCATCTAAGCATTCTCATCTCTGCTACTCATTCACTGCTATGCTTTCTTATTAACCGCCCAACACTGAACCATACATCATAACTGGTCTCACTACAGTCTTATTTACAGTCATAGAATTTACCTTTCAGCCTCATTGGAATTCTTTTATCGCATAAGACACCAGATGCTTCTCTCCACTTCAACCACCCGCACTTAATCCTGTGTNCCTTTCTAAAAAGATTTTATTTAAAAGTTCCTTCAACCATCTTTTGCCAACACCGCCTAATATTTTCCATACATCTACTGGTACTTCACCTGGTCCTACTGCTTTATTCTTTTTCATTGATGCCACAGACTCCCATACCTCTTTCTCACTAAATAAATCTACCAGTCCCTCATTCCACGAGATATCCTTTAATGCTTATTTTGGGTACTCCTTGTTCAGTAATTTTTCAAAATACTCTTTCCACCTTTTTTTTCACATCATCATCACTGAAGAGTACCTTATTATCAACACCTTATATAATGATAATCTTTAGACCTTTTCTCTCATATCTTTGCAAGTCTATAGATTTCTTTCTCGCCTTCATTTGTTCCTAGCCTATCATACAATTCATCATAACTCTTATACTTCACCTTATACTCCATCCAGTCTTCTCTCCTTTTGCTCTTCTGCCATACCTTGAATTGCTTTTTCTTACTTTCTATGATTTTTTAAATGTCCTCATCCCACCACCAGGTTTCCTTGTTTCCTGGCATTCTACTCCTACTCTCACCAACAATCTCCTTTGCAGTATTCTTTACACAACTAGCAAATCTATTCCACACATTATTTATGTCTCCCTCGACATTCCACTCCGTCCTCTCTTTTACCGTCTTTAAAAACTCTTTATCATTTTCCCCTTTCAATTTCCACCACCGGATCTTTGATTTTTCCCCTGTGTTTCTTCTATTTTTATTTATTCTCTTTCCGGTACACCACAACTCCATTATCATCAGTCTATGTTGTCTAGTTACACTCTCGCCTGGTATAACTTTACAATCTTTTACTCGTTTTACGCTCTCTCTTCCATATAAAATAATTGATCTGTGATCTATTTCTCTTACTCTTATATGTTATATAATGTTCTTCTGTCTTTCTAAAATAAGTATTAACCACAGCAAGATCAGATATTATTATATTATATATTATCATCAAGATATTATTATAGTAAGATTTGAAAACACATAGACTAATTTGTATAATTATACATACCAAATTCTGTAACATCAACACCCAATATTCTTAAATAATGTATACTACATTCTCCATTTATGTATGCTTTGAGAGTTGAAAATCCTCTCCATCCTACTAATTCTAGTGGGAAATCTTCATTGATCATATTTAAAATACAACTTCCAACACCTAATATTAAGTAAGGTAATAATTAGATTTATGTTAAATGGGTTTGAATTCAATTAACCTCTGTGCAGGAGTATTCATTTCTCTATTAAATACAAGTGTGTATAATAAAATGTAAAACTGTCTATTTAATTTATAAATTAAGCATGGGATGGTAATAAATTGTGACCAAATCAAAAATGTCAAAATTGAATTGTAAATTTTCTATTAATTTTTAAATTTTGGTTCCGGAGACAAGCTATATTAATAAAACAAATGTATCTGTGCCATTTAGCATAGTTTGAAAGCAGATAATTTATATTTCCAAGGACTTAGTAGTTTATGAAAAGAGCAGAGAAAGTATATTAAAGGAATAGAAATAATTGATGGTAGTAAAAAATTAGAATTTTAATTGAAGAACAAACACATTCTAATTTTTTTTTTTTTTTTTTGCTGTGAATTAAATTTGAAGAAAACAAAAATGAGCCACAGTTTAATTCTGACCAAATTATTGAATTCAATTTAAGTAGTAATGAAAAAGGTTGTGAATCCCAAAAAGTACCTATAATAGATCTTAAAAATTTGGCCTAATGAGAAATAAAGGATAGAAGGTAGTGAAATTAAGGAAGCTTGCAGTCTAGGGTTTAAATTAGGCCTAAAATATAATATCATTGCTATCTAAAGTCACTAAAGGAAGAGTTTTTATTAATTTTTGACAAGTAAATATTTTTAATTGGATCTTTCAGGAAATGTTCAAAAAATGTTGGGTCTAAAGATCTTGAAAGGATAGAATGGAAATTATTAAGATACAAAATAGCATTGAAAAATAGATAATTATAATGGTATAGTTTTTACTATAATTACAACTCTTTCTCTCTCTCAAAAAAAAATACTATAATTTTTGTTAACTAATATTGCAACCATTATAATAATATATTAAAATTAATACTTAGTTTTTATACCAAAATTATCTAGTTTTTCTTTAGTATTATCTCTAAGATTAATAATTGGAACTGTTGGATTTTTAAGTATCATTATAATTTCGTCACGATTTAATTGTACTCGTCTTTTAGAACCTATAAATTGAGTAATACTTGGTAATCCCTAAAAATATTTTAAGTAATTATTTTTTAAGTAATTATTAATTTGATTAACTTAAATGTATTAATAATTATTTAGTTTACCTCCTGAGCAAGTCTAAAATTACAACCCATTGATTTATTATCACACCGAACAAAAGTTTTGACACCAGTATTAATTATCTACATGAAAAATATGTAAAATAAATTAGTGATTAGAAATATCGAATAGAAACTATCGAACTATTCGATAGTTGTCCACTATTCGAACTATACGATAGTCATTCAAAAAATATTCGATAATTTATTCGAATAGTTTTTAAAATTATTCGATAGTCTATTTGAATAGTTTATGCCAAAAATAAACTATTCGATAGCTTAAAATATACGAAAATGCCCATCACTAAAATAAATGTCAAATTATGTATCAATAAATATTTCCGTTATTAACATACTTTAACACGATCTTGATTATTTTTTACAATATCTTTTATTGAAGAAGAAGTGTAGTATATATTCTTCTTTTTACCTATTGAACACCTTGTTAATAAACAATGAACTGGAAAATTACTGAGTTCATAGAAATCCCTGAAAATTAAAATATGTGTATATTAATTCATATAGTCTCAGATTAATATTTATAATTGATTATATATTTATGAAATACAGTAGAATCCAACTGTATAGTACTAAAGTTTGGTATGTTGACAAAATAATAGTTTATAAAAGTCAAATAAATATTCAGTCAAATATTTTATTGCTAATAAAATTTTATAAGTAACTGATTAAATTAGTCAAGGAAAATTTTGATTTTTTCATATTGGTCATAAAATTATTATAATTCCTGAAATAGTTTTTATTTAATAACTAATTAAATACCTAATTTCTGGCCAAACAATATCATTTTCATCCATAAAAACAAATGGATCTTCTTTATATCCATGATATTTGTTTTTTTTTTGTTTCCTCTTATGATCCAATTTATTTTCTGTTGTTTTATCATCTAAATTCATTTCTTGTGGTGATACTTCCCATGGAAGTGATTTAATCTTTATTAAGACTGCTACAAAAAAACCACCTGTATCTTGATGATGTGGAAGTATCCGAATGCTGAAAAATTTCTTAACATTAAATTTTTCAATAATAAAACTATATCATCATAATAAACATCTAACACTACCATTTTGTTAGATTATGTTTATCTTCTATTGGTGGAAACATTTGGGGTCTTATTTGAGTAGACCATTTTTCAGGAACTTCATCAAATATTTCATAAGTATCTAGATCTTTAGATACAACCTTCCATTTAACTAAGCCTTGGGTAGATTGTAAACCTTCAAGTTCATTGTGTGCATCTATAAGTTGTACACTTCCTGGTAAATATTAATAAAAAATCTTTAATACTACTCTGTTAAACTAGAAGTTAAATAGATTTATTATGAAATGTTAATTTATATCTTATAAAATTTACCAGCAGCTTCAGTTAATATTCGGTTAATAACAGCTTCATTTTCAACAGGATTAAAAGAACATGTAGAATATACTAAGCGTCCTCCAATATTCAATAACTCTAAACCTCTCTTTAAAATACGAAATTGAATTCTAATAATTAAAAAATAAATAAGTAAATAATTTTAATGTGAAATTTAATATGAATTATATAATTTACCCATGTAAATTGTTACCATTTCCAGGACTCCATTTAGTCCATATATCAGGATTTTTTCGTAATGTACCATCTCCTGAACATGGAGCGTCACATAATATTTTATCAAATTTTAAAACTGATTGTACTAAAATTGTTTTTTAATTAAATTAATAATAAGTATGATACATTAAAAAAACTTAGTAGTCAGGATCCAATATTGTAAAGATGCGGCCTAATATACTCCAATATAGGTTGAAATTTGAGTTTTTAAACAAAAAACAAAAACAAATTGAAAAATTTTAATGGAAATTTTGACTTTAGCTACCTATCATTTATAGAAAAAAAAATTATCAAAGCGTTATTTGAAATACTAAAAAAAAATTGGAGTTCTAGTTTTGTTTAGGTAAAAAAAATGCAAACATTTAATAACATTAACAACATTTGTGTATGTATGTTGCAGCATTCAAACAGTTTTTATGCTTAAAGTATTTATTAAATTTTTATAAAATGTATTTAAAAGGTAATTGTTTTTAGTACTACTGATAATCTCATTGAGATTTGTGAATTTTTATAGCAAAATGAAAAATGGAAATTTTGCAATTAAAATTTTTTTTTTTTTTAATAACTAATTAAAAGACGAAAATTAAAATTTTTTTCTTCTTTTTATCTTACAGTACCTTAAAAAAATTTTAATTTAATTTAATTTTGAATAATTTATGTTGTCAACATTGTAGAATCTAAAAAATTTCATAAAGATATGTTTTGTTTTTAAAAAGTTATTTTAATGTAAAGTGAAAAATAAAAATATCATTATTGACTTTTTATATTTGGTTAATTTTTTGGTTGAAATTAACCTTTAATATAAGAATTAAATGGGATTAAAAAAAAATTTCCCTAATTATAGTTTCAACTAGATATAATTTGTGATTTTACGCATTTTATTTTGGTAAAATAGTCCAGTAAAAGCACACTATTTATATAAACAGACACACAAAAAAATTACAACATCAAATCAATACCATTTCAGCTACCCATTAAAAGTAAAAAACAAAATGAAATAATTTTAAAATTTTAAGGTACATTGTATATATTATTTTAATACCATTTTCATCAAAAATTAAAGCAGGTAAAACTGTAGCATCATGATTTGTGATAACTATATTTGCACTATTTAATCTTTTAGCTTGATGAACCAACATATAGCATCGTGCATTATGTACATCATTAGCAACTATTAAACCATCTAAGAAAATAAAAACCAGATAAAAATTAAAATTCAATATTTAGGCAAATATTTAATTAATTCATGAATAACTACCAGGAACTGGAATGTTTGATCCAGAATAAAGAGCTTCAATGAGTTGTGCTGTTTTAGATCCAGGTGCAGCACACATATCTAATACCTAGGAATTTAAATCTTTATTTGTTAATCTAAAGCGAGTATAAAAAGTTTTTATGGGAATAGATAAAAAATTCATCTTCTTTTATGTATATCATCTTTGTTAACACTAACTAGGGTAAAATATATTTTTTTTTCAATCTCTATTTAAAATTTATATTGTTAACAATAATACAATATAAATACAAAGAATATCACTGAATAATTTTTTCAAGTTAAATATAATATAATGATTAAAAGCTATTTTAAAATTCTCTGACCTTCCAGACATTTTCCAGGAGGGAGTCAATGCACAAAAAAGATCCCAATAAACAATTGCCTAATAATAGAATTTAGTGCTGTGTTCAATAGTGATATGAAAATTTAGATAATTTACTTATTTTTTTATATAAAGCAAAAATATTAACTCAAGGAAGTAGTAAAATATTACCAGAAAAATGATAAAATTAACTATTTCTATGCCATTAAGTTATAATACTTCAATTTTTAATTAAATTTAAACCCATCTATCAATATAGCAAAATTACTAAACTGTAATTAAATTTTGATAGCAATTCACTGTACCAAGGGAGAACTAACCATGAGGGCAAACACTCCTAGGCTATTGCCTATAGATCTAAAATTAGCATAACCTGGTTTATAAAATTTATTTTTGACCATTTTTTCTTTGTATACAGTAATAAAAATATTTTTTGGATTGAGCTAAATTTCCACAGTTATTATGTCCCCTAAGCCATCGGCTTATTAAACTGACTTTACATTCTACTATAAAACAATTATATTCCAGGTACTCTAATAAAATTCCTTGACTTTACAATGATTCATTTACTTTCTGTTTTTCAGATTTATAAACACCCAATTCCAAATTATGAAAAATATATTTTGTCAGGAATGGTAAAGGAGCAACCCAATTTTTTTTTTTTCAAATAAAGTATTCTTATAGCTCTGTATGTTTTTAAATATAATATTTAATATAAAATTACTATATGTACAAATATAATATCCCCAAGACAATTTTTGAAACAATTCATATTTCGGATAGCAGATTATTGAAATTAAACTTTTTAAAAAAATCTGTTAAGCTAAATTATTTATTTTAAAATAAATACATAGCAAACTCAACTAATAGGTGTGTAAAAGCTTTTAAAATTTACCATATTATTAACAACTAACCTTATCACTTGGTTTAACTTTCAATAATATTGGTGGAATCATACTGACTGTTTCTTGTCTAGAAATATTACCATTTTCTGTTTCAGATATTAAAAAATTATGCAAACGATAATATGCTTCAGAACCTCTTATATCCTTGCGTGTAATCTTAAGTTGCCAACCTAATCTTTGAGGGTACCTAAAATTTTTGATCATAAATTAACAAAAAAATTAGAAGCTATAATTCTTTAAGAATATGATAAGTAAGTATTTCATTAATTTTAGTAAATAAATAATCAGTTTTACATCCTTCTATTTCTCAAACTTAACATGCTACAAAGGATGGAGGCTCTATTTCACATGTTAAAAAGTTAAAAATGGTTTTTGGCTAAGCGAATTATGGATGGGACAGGTATTATGACAGGTTTGCACCAGAGACCAGAGACCACCAATAAGAAAATCATGAAAAAAATCTCGTTGGCACCTTGGAGATCAAACTCTGTACCTTATACTCTGTAACATACATTTCTTCCCACTAAGACAGACCAACCTCAATTTTATTCATTTTAATGTTTATGAATTTATTTATATGAGTCTGTCACAACTTTTTCTTAATCTCACTGGACCAACTTTACTTAATAATACATCAAAAGATCAAATTTGTAACTCTATAAATTTGGAAAGATGTTATTTGTTTCCCGTAAATTTTTCAAATTATAACTAATAACTTACCAAGGTAAACAAAATGGTTTTGCTATGGATAATTGTTCAGATTGTTCATGCTTTAATAAGTCAGTAAAAAAAACACCTTCAACCATTTTTAACAAAGCTTTAGCTTCATTATCACTACTTCCAGTAATTCGAAAAGAAGTTGGTAAATCAGTTTTTAAAACATTAACAAATTCATCCCATTCATCTTCTTTACAGATTCCTTGCATCTATAAAAATAATAATTTTTTTATAACAAAAAACTTATGTATACTATATTTAATAGTTTTATCAAGGATTTCTAGTCATTTTTCTAGAACTATTGAAAATTTAATGAATAAAAAGAAAAGAAAATTTGTAAATAAAGTTGGATTTAACAATTCAATAAAAATGTATGGATTTATAAAAAAAATAATATTTCATTAGAAAAAATTAATAAGTTATTATATTTTGGTTAAAGCATAAAGTTTTTACTTAAGGAAAAAAAATTGGAGCACAATTGAGTCAATTTTATGAGATCAAATCATTAAACATTGATATTATTTATTTACTTTATAATATTGTAGAAATTTGTCATTATGTCTAACAATACTTTCATAAGAACTCCGTGTATCTTCTTTAGGTTTATTAGATACCTCAGCCTAAAAGAAATACCAAAGATAAATTAATTTTCATAGGATAAATTCAAAATCGTTTAAATGTACATGGCATCAAAAAATTAAACCAAATGATACAAAGCAATTGTTTCTGTACAATAAAAATTGATTACTTGTGGCTAATATAATTGTAATTTTAAATTGTTTCTGTATTTTTTATAACATACTATTTGGAGGTCATGGTTTTATATGATTAAATCATTTTAATATTTATAGTTTCAATATTGATGCTATTTGTCTACGATTTAGTGAAAATAGTAGTTTATTATAAAATGTTATTAAATAAAAAGATGAAAGTATAAATTAGAATCTTATACAATATATTACTAGAATTACTAAAAAAATAAAATTGTTACACGTTGCTTTTCTCTTCTTTTTTTAGCAAAGTATGCATTTGTACATCCATGTCGCTTGTTGCCCATATTGCTTAGTTATTATTAAAAGTAATGGATACTAATTTTAAAAACCTATAACAGTTCTTAGTTAAAAATAATTATTATTATTTCCTTTTATCACTATTTTAAATTTACCCAGTGAGTCGAAGGAATCAAATATGCACCTACAGTTCACGTGTTTACCAAATCTTGTCTTATCATATTATGATGAGACCTTAATATTAAACTACAAAATAGATAAGAAAAAAAATATTTGTGATTAAACTACGAACTAGTGATTCAATTATCACTTACCAATACCAATTACAGATGACTTTTTTTTTCAATTTATTTTTCCTAATATTTAAAAACTATTTTATCAATAAATTTTCCTTGTTATGGTGTCTTGTTTTAGATTGGCTTATTTGAGAGTTAAACAAATATTGTTATACACGAGCTTATCCGGATAACTTATTTATATTAGTGGTGGGTAAATTCTCAGACGCAATTATAGACTTGGCACAATAGACTTGATACTACACATGTGGTGTTGTAAATAATCTAAACAAAGCATTAGGAGTTATGTTTACGAGGAGAAGAGGACTTATAAGTCTTGACACACTTACACTGAAAAGACAAGAAATTTTATAATGCTATAACTTTAAAATCTTTGGATCATTATAATTGTTTGTGATAATTATCCCGATTAGTTATTTGATTTATAATTATAATATATGAATAAATAATAATTACAGTAATTAAATTTAGTATGAAATTGATATTCAGGAGGAAGCTACTATTTTTTGGATTCGAGAGATGTAGCAATAGTATTTACGACTCTGTGGAGTTGATGGAATGTGGCATGTTTTGGTCGAAAACCAAACTGAAATTCAGGTATGGTATTTTTCTCTTGCGCTAATGGGAGAAGTCTGCTAAGGAGAAGCTTTTCGAGGATTTTACCGAGAACTGGTAAAAGACTAATTGGTCTATATGACGTCGACTTTTCTGGGGATTTTTCAGGTTTTAAGATGGAGATAATAATTGCTGTTTTTCATTTAGGGGGGAAATAAGAAAGGCGAAAGATCGCGTTGTAAATATATGTAAGCAGTATGATTGTTTTGGGCGGTAGATTTTTTATTATTTTGTTACTAATAAGATCGTGTCCAGGTGACTTGTTAGTCTTGAGTTTTTTGATGATTGATGACACTTTTTTGGGAGTGGTGGGTTTTGTTGGAAGGGCCATGGGTAGTGGAGACGTGTTAAATCGGTTTACTAGATCTAAGTGTGTGGTGTCCGGGAGGATTGAGTGTGGCTTGAAGACATTGGCGAAATGTTCAGCAAGTAGCTCAACCTTTTCTTGAGTGGAGACGGCTAGGGTGTTGTTTAGACGTTGAAGGGGAGGCATGACTGATTTGTGTTTTAATAGTGATTTAGTTTTCTTCCAAAGGGAGCCGTTATTTGGTGATAGGGATGAGAGGTGAGATTTGTACATTTCATTTTTGTGCTTCTTTAGTAATTTTTTGAGTTTATTTGTTAGAGAGTTATATGTATGTCTGTCTTCAGGGTAGTGAGTGCGCTGCCATTGATTGCGGGCTCTCCGCTTCTTTGTTATGAGTAGTCTTAATTCAGGAGTAAGTTGATTGCCAGATGGCTTGTTTATTATTGGAGATAGGGAGTTGATTTTAGCGCTGAGAATGTTCTCTGTGAGTGTATTAATTGCCAGATCGACAT